AAAAATTGTACGGTTGAATGGCCAAGAAGAGCGCGCTCACTCAAAGAGCTCTTAGTTTGTCTTACGTTGGATTGAAGTAGCTCTTAATTGTTTAAATATATTTATATATACTTAAGAGAGTGATTGATAGGAGTGAGTGGTATTTATGTATTGAGAAATTACTCATTTTGAAAGTGTTAATAACACATTAAGAATATACCCTTCAAGTATTGAAACTTAATAACTTTTCCCTTAAATTTCACTTTCTTGTTTATTAATGCGATTTTGAACTCCCTTTTTCAGATTATATCAAAAAACAGCCTGTTGTAAACGCTTACAAATTAAAGTCTTCTGAAGGTAAGTCCTTTATCCGAAAATTAATTATGTTAAAAAATTTATGTTTGTAAATCAACGTGTGAAACAAGTGCTCGAGACTGTGTAAAAACTGCCAAAATACAAATTAGTCTGTTTTGGTCAGAAATACAATAGTTTTTTCTTTTCAATTCTGGTGATAAATATAAATCGAAATTAACTTATTTCCCAATTTAAAAGTACCCTTTTACTAGTTTGTGTTTAACTGGTATGTAAATAGTTCATTGTAAACCAGTTTAAGATGTAATGTGTAGAAGCAGAAAGCTAGATGCACTATAGACCCTATTAGACTCATTAACAACTTTCTTTTAACAGAGAAGAAGTGAATAATATTTAAAATTTAATTCATACAAAATATAGGACTACCCAAGATATAAATTTCCCTTTTTAAACTTGAAAAAAAAATACATTTTATTTAAGCAAATATAATGTCAACAGACGAAATGCTCAAAGAACCTTCTACCTATGCACCCACATATGTATGTACATATATACAAACAAGTACCTGTGACATTACTGCTTTGCGTCAATTGATTGAATTTCTGATTAACTTGCATTGTTTGTTCGGGCATTGATTTGTTGCCCCATACATGCCCTCAATAAGGAAGGCGGCGCGTTGCAGGAGCTGCAGTTACTCGTATGTAGCCGAGAGTGTAGGTGCTGCAATTATAAATACAATTTCCTGTACAAGGACACGTTGTACGATGCTATCAATAGCGCCTTAATTAAATGTAACAAAACAACGCGATATAAAAGGTATGCGCATGTATGTGTGTGTGCGTAATAAATAGCTCATTTATTAATTAAAATTCAATGAGTTGAATGTGAGTCAATGGCGTCAAATAACAACGTAATGTGATGTGTAAGTTATTTATGCATTTAAATACATGTAAAGGGTAGCTTCGCATTATAGTTGGTAAAATTTTTATAGAAAAATAAAATGGAAACATTAAAAAAAAATATTAAAATAAAATAAAATCAAATGAAAAATAAAAAAACAAACAAAAATCAAATAAAATAAACTTAGTTGGAATAACATAAATTAAAATAAAAAAAAAGTAAAATAAAAAATTAAATAAACTAATCTACAAAAAAAAAATTAAATTAAATAATATAAAAAAAATTTAAAAAAATAAAATAAAAGAAAATAGAAAAAAATAAATAAAATAAAATAGAAAGAAAAACTAAATTGAAGGATAATGAAATAAACTAATATACAATAAAACAATTAAAATTAAATAAAATAATATAGAAAAAAACAAGAAAGAATAAAATAAAATAGAATAAAAAAAATAGAATAAAATAAAGTAGAAAAAAATTGAATTAAAAGATATTGAAATAAACTAACATACATTAAAACAAAACGAAATAAAAAATAAAATGAAATGAAATAAAACAACATAAAATAAAGTAAACAGAATACAAGAAATAAAATAAAATAGAAAAAATTGCATAAAAAATCAAATAAAGTGAAATTAAATCAAATAATATAAAATAAAGAAAAATTAAAGTAAGTTAGTTTAAATTAAATAAAAGAATATTAAAGATAATAAAATGCTAGAAACTCTTATAATAAAGTAAAATAAAATGTAATAAAAAATATACTAAATTTAATAAAATAATATTGATATATAATATATAAAAAACGCAAAAGCACAAAATAATAATTTAAATTTAAGATTTATAAAATAAAATAAAACAAATTAAAATAAAATAATATAGAGAACTTGTAGTATATTGAAATAAAAAATAATTAATAAAATAAATTTAAATAAAATAAAGTAAAAGTGCTCCTAAGTTTAAATTAAATTAAATTAAAATAAAGTGAATCAAATTATATTAGAAAACAATATAATATAAAATTAATATTAAATAATATAATAAAATATATATTATATAATAAAATATAATATAAAATAAAACATAATAAAATTACATAAAATTAAATTAATATAAAATAGATAAAAGTTTACTTTCCTTAAATTAAATTAAATTAAATTAAATTAATATTGAAATAAAATGCATAACATTACTTTAATTAAATAAAAATTATAAATTGAATTAAATGCCATTTAAGGAATGTTTAAAATATCACGAAAAGTCTTTAAATATAATATAATTAATTGGTATAAAACAACTCACCCTTTATAAAGAAAATGTATTTACATTTGATTACCTTTATTTAAATTTGAAGAAAAAAGTTTTTTTTTTGTTTTTAATTTTAAAAGCAATTTTAAATAGTAATTTTAATAGGCACCGACAATTTCCAATGTATTTTATACATTTATCTGCAATGTTATGTTTAAATAATTTTTCACTCAAATGACAAAGCAGCCATCAGTTAAGCGTCACTCATTGTTGTTGACTAAAATTAACGCACACAAAAAGTTCTTGCATGCATACATACATACATACATATGTATTACTCTTATCATGTCATTTGGTATTTTATCGCAATTCAACTTTATTTTACCGTTGTTACAATCATTACATTGTAGCAAAATTTAAGTGAAAGCAGTTGAATATTTTATAGCATTTACTGTTCTAAAGTAAAAAAAAAAATATTCTATAGACTTTTTTTAACAAACGTTGGGCTCTATTATGAATGACGTTAAAAAATGAATTGCTGGTAATTTTAGCGTTATGTAACTGTAAGCAAATTTTTTGTTAGCAATTGCTGTCATTCCTTATTGAGTCGGACACAAAAAAAAAGTTCTGCAAATATTTATCTGTACGTAGTGTTAATATAGAGATTGTCTGCCGCAAAGGCTTTTTGGCTTTTAGATTGATTTATGGTTGGCAAGTATTTAATATATATGTACATTTGTTGTTTAAAAATAAGCAGTAACGTCCTTGTTTTGTAATTATTATTTTAATATAATTTTTTTGATCTTGATAAAGAATGAGTAAATATTTAATGGGACAGTTGAAGATTTTTATGTTTTCGACCGAAAGCGACAGTTAATTTTTTAAGCTTTACAACTTCTTCTGAAAATCACTTCTAGAATAGTAATAAGATGTTGTTGTTCACTGAGCTTTCCTCAAGAGCATTTGATTTCAATCAGTTGTGGAGGAAACTATTTTATACCAATAATAATAATATAAGGACTAAGCTTCTGGTCAGATTAGATTTGGTTACTCTACTGACCCGTTGGGTCTTCCGTAGAGAAAATTACGCCAAATTGAAATAGTCATCGGTGGGCTTTCTACAAACAAAGCCTTTGCCTGCCAATTCTGCCAAAAATAAATTAAGAGTTGGCAATCGCACCCTAACTCTTCCCACTTTCTAAAAAAAACCGTATCTATGTTTGAATTTTCACAAATGTCGCTTGTCGTGCTGTCGTCGTCTAAATCTTTAAGACTTTATTTCAGAGTGTGATACTCTTTTCAATCACCAGGTGTGCTTGGCTGTTTTGACAACTTGCTCTTAAAACTTAACTCTCTGAGTACAACTCTTAAACTCAAATCCAAGCAGAGAAATAATTGATCGCCTGATGACCTTGTGTTAATCTTTAAAAACCAATTTGTGGTTGGGAGTAGTGAGTTGTTGAGGAACAAAAAGTAAAAAGAGAGTTCTCATTTTGAGAAGAGTGATAGAGAGTGAGAGACAGACAAAGAGAGAAAGAAATGCTACATCAATGATAACGGTGCTTCTAATTTGAAAAATAAACAATGAACATTCATTTGTTGTTTTTATATTTTTTTATTTCTAAAATTTTTTCACAAAAATAAAGATTTTTTAAATCAAAATAAAATATATTAATGCTTGGCAGCCTTAATCCCTCTTTGTTTCTTTTTTTTGTAACATTTTACGCCAATAAGTAACATCACTCAATCTACCTACTCAACTGGCGCTCCTCACTCACCCGCTCAACTACTCTCCCGTTTACCTGTAATTCGCTTTGTTTGCTAATGTTGAGCTGACAGATGTGTTTTTCCGATTGTGTTTGTGCCGTAGAATAGTATATGACATATTTATTAACTGCTGACGTGAGATACGGGCAATAAAACTGCGAATATTCAAACAAAAGAGAGGAAAAAAAAATTACAAATGTAGATAAACACAAATACACACACGCAATTTACACTCATAATTTTTTGAAAGATTTTCTTTTTGTTTTGTCTATGCACAAAGTAGATTAATAAATTATTTATAAGCGTATAAACAATTGGAAAATATAAATAAATAAATTAACGAGGAAAAAGAAACAGAAAATAAAGAGCGAAGCTTACTGAGAGCGCCGCGCATGCCGGTGTCAGATGTAAATGCTGAATAAACTGAGTGCGTTAAGTGTCATATATACATATACAATACATACATATATATATATGTAATTGTATGCCTACATTGATTTGTTTGTATTGGTTTTATATCTCTACATATACATATATCTATTTTCTTTACAATTCTTTCAACGTAACAGCTGTCTGCTGACGGCTTTTATTTCGCCTAACGCTCAGAGTTACGCACTCAAACTCATACACACATACAAACACACATACCATTGAGCGCTCAGGTTAACAATCAAAGAAGAAGAAGCAGAAAACACTCAACCCAACCACCACTACAATCACACACCAGCTTATACCAACCAGCCAAACCTTACGATATCTGAGCGGGGAGATAGCCAGCCAGCGCCAGCGCCAGCTAGCCGCTTCTTACAGTACAGTAGAGTAATTTGAGCTGCTGGAACATACATACGTGTACGAAGCGCGCGCTTGCAACGACGTCGGGTCTACGGGGCAGGTTTCTCGCTGAATTTTTTTTTTTTGCTTTTGGGGTCTCCAAATCGCTTAAGAATTTACGAATTTACGCGCAACGCAATCGGGGGAATATATACGAAAAAACGCGTTTAAGAGAAGGGGAAAGGGTTAAAAGCAACAGTTGTTGGTTTTAGATTTTTTATTTTTTTTTTGAAAAAAAAATTCGTTAATATTTTCAAAAATTCCATTAAAACGTGTTTTCGGCGCAAATTTTATTCTTTTCTCGAAAAGTGTTTTGTGAAACGTGAAATTCCGAAATTGATTTTTGCAAATCAGTTCGTAAAAGTGACACAGAACTGGTTATTGCACAGAAGCGCTGATACAACTTATGGACTTTGTGTGAATTTTGTTCAATAAGAAATCAATACCAATACAGCAACAAAAAGCAAAAACAACACGACCCAACATACAGTGAACAGTGAACACACAAATGCCAGTTAAGCTAGAATGACAACAACAAAAACACACTTATAGCAGACGTCAAGCAAAAAAAACATAAGAAAACCGGACTTGGAATGGCTGAAATTCCAATGGTGACAGAATCAGACAAAATAAAAATAATGAAAAAATAATTATACAACTAAGAAATAAAATAAAATAAGTAAATGAAGAATAAAAGAAATAGTTTGGAAATAAAAATAGAACTAAAAATATGCAAATAAAGTCAATCGTTTAAACGATTTCAAAATCGGCCGGCGCATACCAACACAACACTGAAAAAAAATAAATAAAATAACAAAAAAATATTTACATAAAACAGAAACCAGTTTTCGAGATAAATTTCGTATGTATTTGCATGTTATAGAATAAATAAACAAAGTTAATAGTTAAAATCGAAAAATAAGAAAAGGTGAAAAAATTGGTTCTTCTAATTTTTTTTGCAAAAATCAACAACAACGATCAGCAAACACGAATACATGGCTAAAACAACAACAAATCGCACGCAATTGGATATATAACAAACGGATATACTCGAAAACACATACAATTGCGTCTAAATGGTAAATTATTTAAAATAACAGAACAAAAAATATTTTAAATTTTGACCACTCAACACGAAAAATGAACCTCTGCAAGCAAACAGGATGCCGCAGCTGCACAGTCAAAATTAGTACATATAAACAAAAAAAACAAATTAATAAAAAACATCTACTGAACAGAAAACGTAATAAAATTAAATGAAACTAAAACTATTTATATTAAATTAAAAGCAGTAAAACCGAAAATTGATTAAAGCTAGGAATATTAAATATTAATTAAATTAAATTAAGCTAAATAAAACAAAAAACTTAAAACAAAACAATATAAAATGTAATAAAATAAAAAATACAAATTTTCGTTTGATAAAAATTTAAACTGATAAGCAATATATATAAAAAAAAATAAAATAAAAAAAAATAAAAATAAAATTATTAAATTCAATACTTAAAAAAAACTAATTGAATTTAATTTAATTAAATAAAATTTGATTTGATTTAATAAGAAAATTAAAGAGAATAAAGGTAATAAAATACAACAAAATAAATGAAACAAAACGAACAAAATTTTTAAAATCAAAATTAAAAAAAAAAAAAAACTAAATAAAAAAAAACAAACTAAAATAAAGTGAACTCGAATAAAAACAATTAGATTATATGGAATGAAATGTAATAATTTAAAATAACATAATCCAAAATAAGATAAAATTGAACAACGAAAATGAAACCAAATTAAAAATATATGAAATAAAATAAAATAAATTAAATCCAAAGTAAAAAATGCAATAAATAAATATTAAAAAAAAAATTAAATAAAGAATAAAAAAAAATAAATTAAATTAATTATTATAAAATGAAATCAAATCAAATAAATTCAATTAAATTAAATTAGGTTAATATAAATAAAAAATAACAAAAAAGTGAAATAAAGTATAAAAGAATTCAATTAAATAAATTAATATAAAAGGAAATCTAATCAAATGAAATAAACTCAAATTAAATTAAATTAATATTAATAAAATATAATCAAATAAAATAAAATAAAAAAGTAAAAAAAAAACAAATAAAATAAAGTAAAATAAGATTAAACCAAATATAAAATAAAATTACTATAAATAAAATATAATAAAGTAAAATGCAAAAATAATAAATAAAATAAAATAAAGTAAATTCAAATAGGATAAATTAAATTAAATTTAATTTAATTAATTGAAAAAATGAAGTAAAGTAATATAAAAAAATGAATTAAAAGAAAACAAATTAAATAAATCATAATATAATTAAAATATTATATAAAAAGTAAATCAAATTTTTAAAAACTAAACAAAAATTTAGTAAAACAACATCAAAAACAAAATTGATTTTATATTTAATTAAACAAAAATTAAAATAAAATAAAATATGAAATACTAAAAAAAGTAAGACAAAATAACATGAAAAATTAAAATAATTATTAAATTATAGGAAAGAAAACTAAACAAGGGTATAAGAAAATTAAATAGAGTATTGTAGAAAAAAGTTAGAAAATAAAAATGAATCAAAAAGATAAAAGAACAAAATTAAATTATATAAAAAATTTAATTGAATTAAATTAAAAAAGTATAATGAAATGAAATAAAATAAAATCAAATGAATTAAATTTAATTAAAATTAAAATATAAAGTATAAATTAAAAAAAATTAAATTAAAGAAAAATACATGATGAAGTAAAATTTCTTAAGAAAAAACAAAATTTACAACAATTCTAACAAAAATATTATAATAAGCAAAAACACAAGAGGCAATATTCTCAAAGAAGATATTATCAAATACGAGTATACATACATATGTATGTATATCAAGAATATTTCCAAGTATCTTCTTACATTTTTCCTATTTTACTGCGTTTTTATTCAGCTCTTCTTGCGATTTCAAACTATTTTATTCTGCGTTTAGCTCTTTTGTATTTTTTTTTATTCTTTTTTCTTTCTGCAAATAACTAGTTTTTATTTTCATATACAACAACAATGCTGTTTTTTAGTTTTTAATTTTGTTTTTGCTATTGTATAAAGTGACTGGCAGTGCATTGCGCTGCCTGCCGTGCCGTGTCATGGCAGCCGGTTCAGCTGTTAACGACTTTTATTGCCAACTAGGTGTTGCTGTTTGCCATTTTTGTTTTTGTTTATGTTCTTGTTTCAAATTGTATACTATTGGTGTGGTTCATGCGGCATTCCAAGCTTCGTGCAGAGATTCATTTTTGTTGCATGTGTTTATACATATATACATATGTATGCATGTGGCATAGAATAGTGCTTCGTTTCAAAGCAGACACAAAAAGCAAAGAGGGTTCATTCGCAAAACTATAATAATAATAATAATAATTAATAAAAAATAATAATAAAATAAAGTAAAAAATAAGCGTAATAAAGCTTATAAAATATTTGTTAGGCTTGGTGTTAAATCTGAGAAATACAATATGTAGGAGTAAAAAGCTTAATATATGACTAAGCGTTGACTATACTTGAAGAAAAAGTAGTATCTGCGTGAATCAGAAAATGAAGTGTCGAAAACTAAAAATCGATAAATTTGAAATATTATTTATTTACGATATTGCATATATATAAATAATTAAATTAATAAATAATAGGCAAAATGTGCTGTAGACCGCACAAGGCAAGTGTCTGATACTCATAACACCTCGAATCCTTGCCACATTTTCGATGAATAAATTAAAATAAATTTCTTTAAAACGTTTGAAAAAAATCTACTTCAACTGGAAAGGGATTGAATGTCAAGCTGATGATAACCAAGAAATAAATATATATAATACAATTTAATTCAGCAAAATTAAATGCCATTTTAATGCGTCACATTAACGCATTTTTAAAGCATTTAATTTGGTTTCAATAGGGAGGGGTCTTAAGCTCAGCTGACAGCTATTTATTATTTAACTGTTTTTTTTTTTTATATTTTACACTAACTTTTTAAGTTTACGACTATTTTAGTATTTCGAGTTGATTTTAGTAGGTATTTATCTTTGCAGTTGACAATTTACTTATATAATTGAATGTCAAACACAGCTGACAATATTTTTAACAAACTACCCTGTCGGAATTTTTGAGCTTCTTGAACCCTTCAGATTTAAACAAAATACTTTTTTTTATGAGAAATTCATTTATTAACTCCTTTGTTGTTGTAATTATGTGGTTTTATATAATAATTTACTGTTTTTAAAGATTTATAGTACTTAAGGTCTACGACAGTGATGTATTTATTTAATAAAATTCAATTTCGATTTATACACCGTTACCACCAGCTTCACTCTTTCAGACTTTTCCTCATTACTTGAAATTTTGTATCTGCTTATTTGCATTCCAATAGGGTATTCAACATAAAAGTAAGTACAAAAGCAATTAAAAGGTAGCTTACGATAACGTAATTCACCTTCACTGTGCGCCTCCTCACCTCAACGCCCCACTTTTTTGTTGTCTTTTGTGCTCAGCGTGCACCCACAAGCAAGCGATATACGTATGTATGTATACATGCATATATTTAAATATATAAATATATGTACATTAATGCATGTATGCATTAATAAATACTTATATACATATATACATATGTGCCATTATACATACGTATATTAACTACCACAATGACTTTTAACACGTGTGCAACCCTGATCGTTTTGGTTGTTCTGTGTTAATGGCGAATTTTTGTTTGTCTATATTTAAAGTTGTGCAATTTCTGCTATTTTCTTTTATTTATTGTATTATATTTTGTAGTAAACATATACATACATTCTCCGTTGAGCTATTTTTTTTATTATTTTTTATATATTTACTTTATTAATTTTTAATTTATATCCTTATCCACTTCTTCTATCTATCTTCTCTTTTGAAATATTCATATACATTTATTAATGATTTTTCTTAAAATAGTTATTGCCAAGTAAATATCATAAAGCTATGAAGTTCATTTGTGACGCATACTGTGCACCTCAGCAGCTTATGATGCCCTTAATGATTTATTGATGAGTAATGTAATTTTATATACCGAAAATAATTTTTATGTAACATTTAATATTTCGTTAATTTATGACATAGCAGATTTGATATATATATTTTAATTACATGGCGCTCCTTGGGTGGTTATTTTTTTATTTTTGCCAAATTCATTGCGAAATGGGTGTGACGCGACTGGTATTGAATTGGGTTTTCCGTTGTTTTTATTTTATATAATATTTTGTTTTACTTCTTCTCATTTCTTATTTACATTTAAGTTTCTTTTATTATAGTTTAATTATTTTATTATTAATTTTAATTTATTTTATTTTATATCGTTTTATTTTATTGTGTCATATTTTATTTTATTTTTATTTATATAATTTTATGTCATTTTATTTTATTTTGATTAATTTTATTTTAATATAATTATTTTAATTTAATTTATTTATTATATTTTATTTCATTATTATTTTATTTATTTTATGTCATTTTATTTTATTTTATTTTTATCTTTTTTTTATTTTATTTTATTTTAATTAATTCAATTTTATTTTAAGACATTTTTTTTATATTTTGCCATATTTTAGTTTTATTTATTTTATGCCATTTTATTTCATTTCAATTTTTTTATTTTAGTTTATATTATATTGTTTAAATTTGTTATATTTTATTTTCAGTAACTTTTATTTTATTTTCTATTTTTTAAGTTATTTTTTAATTTTTTTCAATTAACTTTAATATATTTCATTTTTTAACTATTTATTTTACTTAAATTTATTTTATTTTCGTAATTATTTTAATAATATCGTTTATATTTTATATAAATTTTTTGTGTTTTGATTTATTTTATGTTTTTAACTATTTATTTGATTTTATTTATGTTTTTAACTATTTATTTGATTTTATTTTATTTTGTTTAATTTTATTTTATTTTATTTNTTATTTTATTTTTTTCAATTATTTATTTTAATTATTTATTGATTTTATTTTTTATTTTAATTTTTTGTGTTTTAATTTATTTAATTTTTTTTTTTGCTA